TATCTATCTATCTATCTATCTATCTATCTATCTATCTATCTATCTATCTATCTATCTATCTATCTATCTATCTATCTATCTATCTATCTATCTATATCTGACAGTGTTTGAGCTCTACTGATTTCCACAGGGACATTTAGCTTTTGTATGTATATCTCTGATCTAAAGTATGCATACGAAAGTGATGTCAGGGAAAATGAATTATGTTTTTCAGTCTAACCTGACAAACTCATTGTCAAATCTTTGTAAAGCAGACATTCCTCCCTTGTGAACACAGATCTGCCGCTGCACTGAGCAGCAGACGGGAGATATTTATGCATCTGCTGGTGGTGTTTCCCACATTAGAGGAGCACTTTTGTTCTGGAGAATTATAACAGACTTATTTCCCTGCAGTGTCAAAGAGGTTGTTGCAACCAATTACGGACAGATGCCAATAAATACTGCTTTCTCCCTTCACAGCAATTAAAACTGGCCATGAAAATGAATCTCATTCTAAAAATAACTGTGATAACAAATAGTTTGTGCTTGGACCGCTCATTAGTATATTTCACTTACACACAATCTAAATGTCAGTGTGAAGAAGAGTAAGTGTGAACAATGTGTTTTTTATGGTCTGTTCATCCAGCCTCAGCACTGTTCATACAGTAGAAATATTGTTCTTGTTTCATGCACTACCACAGACTTGTATTAGATTGAGTAATCAATCATGTTCAGTCAATGGGTTGGCCTTTATAATGTGACACATTCTTTAATTATCATGCCAGCTACACATCCCCCTCTTCTCCTTAAGGCTATACAAACCTGTAAGTGGTTGCATTGATTGACTTCTCTACCATTCTCGCCTCCTCTTGCTTCAGCTTCTTATTAACATGCATGACGATGGCACATACCCTGCTCCATGCATGACAATAGCTTTTTCTTCAGCCTTACTCACTACATGTCTCTGCAATACATGACATTGGGTAATTCTCCAATGAACTCTAGCTGCTGCTTGCATTTTAGAGTGGTTCCCTTATATAAAGGTGTAGCCATTTGTTACAATAAATGTTGGGATATTGACACTAGTGTAGCTGACGCATGGTGCAGTTGTGCTCAGGGGAAATGCTGCTGAAGAATGATAAGAATACTGTCCACAGGTGTTGCACAGGGACTCTCTGGTGCACGTGGTTGACAGTTTGAACAGTGCTGTAATTGTTTAGTGCAAGCAAAGCTGCCTGAGAAGTAAATTTGCCTGAGTGGGCAGCGGAGGCAGGGGCATTCATGGCAAATCTGCTCTCCAGCCGTAAAATGCTGATAAGAAAATAAATGTAAAAATTCAATCTCGGTTATCTGAATGTTAAATAAACGTCTGTCCAGATTCCCAACTGATATGTAAATCTTGGCTTTGCTATGATTAATATCACATTCAGCATGAAGATAACTAATTCTTAAAAAAATTATAATAATAGTGACACAATAAGGCATTTTAACATAGTTTTTGTTGCTATTTTAAATAGCTCATTACATATAAATGACCACCAGCAGCAGCAGCCATAGTCAGTGATAAATGATTATTTGGATGAATTGAAAATTGAAATTATTGAAATACAAAGTTTCAGTTATAAATTATTTGGCAATTAGACTCAGGTGAAGTTATATAGCAAAGCTGCGTCTGATGATGGATGATGGGAGGAGGTAGGACTCCTTCAGTCTTGGCGCTGGTGGTGGTAGCAAAGATGAAGCAGGTGGAGACTTGGACAAGAAACTGTATCTTGGCAGGATGAGGTGTAGAATGACAGCAGAGCTGTGAGATTTAAGGATAGCGAAATACTGATATTTTGCATACATGTATCTAAGCATGTTTTGTCTGAAGTCACTATAAATGAACTATATTTTCATCATGAAACCAGGCAAGCATCTGTCCCCTAACCCTTTCTTAAGTGTCTTGTGCATTGTCTTTACAAAGTTTAACAAGGTTAAAGTCATTGTGAGGAAATAGAGGTACAATTGAACTACAAGTGTTAAATGAGATTTTAATCATTCATTCAAATAAATGTTTTAACAACAAGCCAGAGAAAATCATTCTTCAAAGGATTTCTTTGAAATTATAATGAGGGTTTGAAATTTACTTCATTTGTGTGTTTGTGTGTAAAGATTATTTATACATACAATTTTGCCCGAGAAAAATAAGAAATAAAAACAGCAAACTAATGTTGTCGCCCTAATCATGAAGGACATTCCCTGACTGGTTATATTTGATTGTAAATCATAATCAGTTGAATTACAGGATTTATATTGTAAATTTGGGGCCGTTTGGTGCCTCAGAAGGTCTGGAGCGCCAGGAAACATTATCATCTTTGCCAGACTGCAAAACCAGATTTGCCATTTTAATTGCATTATCTTAT